GTCTTCTATTGATTTAATATTGTATATGAACAATGATAGGTGCAGATCATTTGTTTGGGGTCTGCGTGACTATCGTAACCAATGGTTAGAGACACGTGGTTACACGGCTCTGAACCTATCACAATGGCGTAGATATATAGACGCTATTTCGTCCTTTAAAGTGTGAGATTAAGACTGCTTTATATCTTTCTTTCTGCTAAATAATTTCTTATTCCTGTACTATATCCTGACACACAACCTTTCTTTATAGACTATTCACATTAAAGTGACTACTTCTATGAATTTGGTGTTCATCTTTTTGTGCTAATGAGGTGTGTTAACTTGGACCAATGTATTAATGTGCCTGCTTTTACCTTGTAGATTACTAACTGACCTTTATCGCAGATTATGAGACGATTTGATATTGATGTACAGAATACTAGGAAATGATCTTGGACCCAATGTATTAGCCCTTTTTCTTCCCACTAGATCGAGACATCTCAGAGGACATGACAAGCGAGTAGAAAAGCCAAGGACGAAAATACCCGTGGCATAGAGATTTTCGCGTCATCATCATTTCTTGGAACCTGTTATTCGAAGGAGTGTTGTCCGCACCTTCAATTATTAATCCAGAAGACGACTAGACACTCACAGAAGCATACGAGGAAAGAAATAACTTAGGATGTAGGCCTTCTGTCCTTACGACACAAATCTGAAACAATAAAATGTAGTTCACTTGTCTGCACCACCAAGAAGAGCTTTTGTCAGTTGATTATCTAAGTAAAACCGTCAAGGATTTATGATAACCACTTACACACCTCGTTATTTTAGGGGGTGCCGTTACAACTGCTTATCTAGAGAACGTAGAAAAATATGTCGGTTTCCATTTTCACCAGAATTTACTTTTGAATGCGAACGCATGTGGACTCCTAAAGTTATCGTAAGTAACACCAAACGTTCGGAAAAGTCCGCAACTATACATTTATGTAAATACTAATTTATAAGAATGAGAAACAAGTGTATAACAAAGATTCGGGAAGCTCAAAGAAAATATGAAATGCAGTTGGCACAATCTGCACTCAAGCAGCCCAAGAGAATATTCTCGTACATAAACTACAGAACAAGGATGCATCATTGGATTGCCAACCTAATCAAAGAAGGGAGTGAATCTGAAATGATAGAGGAAGATCAGGAAAAAGCAGAGGATATGGCTGACTATTTTGGGGAAGTCTTCACCCAGGAACCTCCTCTAGACAAAGAAACAGACCAAAATAAAGAGTAAAAAACCACCTGCTCACCGTGGACTTCCATCAAGACGATGTGCTTAAGGCTCTTAGAACCTTAAACATGGGAAAGTCAACAGGACCAGATGAACTACATCCCGAAATCTTGAGACATATTGCACGACATATCGCGACCCCATTGACTGTGATATTCAATATATCACTTGACCATGGTGTGTAACCTTTGAACTCGAAGGACGTAATCGTCACTCCCATACATGTAACAGGACCAAGACAACTTCCATCGAACTACAGACCCATAAGCCTCATCGGTGTTGTAATGGAAATACTGGAAAGAATAATCAAACGGACCATAACGGCATTAATGGAAACCAATAACTTGCTGAACATGGCACAACATGCACAACGAACCTCCGTATACCTAGGGAGTTCTGGACTAATGTGCTAGACAACGTAAACTCAGTGGATGTTGTCTACATAGATTTCAGTAAGGCTTTTGACAAGGTGCCAACTAATAGACTGCTATTGAAGTTGGAAAACCTTGGTATTGCCGGACCTCTTTTAAAATGGAATAAAGATTTCCTAGTAGGTCGTAGACAAAAAGTAAGAATAAATTCCAAGTGCTCCATCTGGAGACCAGTACTTGGTGGAGTACCGCAAGGTTCCGTCCTAGGTCCTTTACTTTTTATAATGTACGTTAATGATCTTCTAAGTATAGTATAGTCTCCAATGTTATTATACGCTGACGATGTAGAAATTTGGCGAGTAGTAACTGGAGACAAAGACGCATTTACTCTTCAGGCAGACCTAAATAATATAATAAACTGGTCTAAAGAGTGGCTGATGCCTATCAACTCGGAAAAGTGTGTCTACATGCACTTGGGGGATTCAAAAGTTAGTAAGTACAACATAGAGGAAGTGCCATTACCCGTGGTCCGGTCTCATAAGGATCTAGGAGTGACAGTGAGTAATGATCTTAAGACGACGGCCCATTGCCGGGAAGTCACAAATAAGGAGTTTCGGACTCTCTGGGCTTTAAAAAGGACATTCACTAAATTAGATACTACCATGTTCACCACAGTATACACATCCTTAGTGAGAACTAAGCTAGAGAACTGCGTTCAGGCTACAAGCACCAGCTTAAAGGTGACCCGGACATACTAGAAAAAGTACAGAGGGCAGCTACCCATGCAATTCCGGAACTCCGGGGTTTATCATATAAAGAGCGGCTTGAAAAGCTGGATTTCTTTACTCCGTGCTACCGCAGATTAAGGGGAGATCTAATTTTGATGTACAGAATACTGAAAAATGATTCTGGACCAAAATTATTCTCTCTTTCTTCCCACTAGACCGGGACACCACAGAGGACATAGTAGGCGAGTAGAAAAGCCAAGAACGAACAAAATACCCGTGGTATACAGGTTTTCACACCGAGTCATCAATACTTGGAACCTGCTGCCTGAAGCAGTTGTGTCCGCGCCTTCAACTGACTCTTTCAAGAGAAGACTGGACACTCACAGAAGAATACTAGAAAAGAAATAACACAGACCGTAGGCCTTTTGTACTTTCTACACAAATCTGAATCTGAGTCAATCAGAAAAGAATTCGCTACCGGCAGAGCTAGTCCAAGCGACTTCCCAGGAGTCCTTTAAGAGGCAACTTGACTAAGGATAGTATCGCACTATGATTTATTAATTTCTTTTCCTGTTTTAGTGTACAGGCAATATAAAAATATCAGGAACATATGCACGAAAGCTATAAGAGAAGATAGGCTTCAGTACCAGACAAAGCTTATGGACAAATTTGCCTCTAATCCTAAAAGCTTATTCCGTTATGCAGCCTCCCTTCGTCAAGCCAAAACTGGAGTTTCCCAACTGGTAGGTCGTAACTGCCCTACCAACAACGATGGTGATGCCGCTAACCTTCTGGCTGAACATTACTCCCAGACATTTCAACCGACCGACATTAAATTTACTGATGACAGTTTAGTTTGCAATTCCACAGAACTTTCCGAAGTGAACCTAAGCGCTGACTTGGTGTTCCGGAAACTGCAGCACTTAAGATTAGACACCTCTCCTGTCCCGGACATCGTCCATTCCGCCATACTGAGGGAAACAACCTCAATCTTGGCAACGCCGCTTAGCGTGATGTTCTCACACTCGCTAAGTCGAGGAAAGCTACCGGAAAATTGGAAGCTGGCTCACATCACACCAATTTTCAAAGGAGTTCGACGCAGCGAACCTTCAAGTTACCGACCGGTGGCTCTTCTCTCCGTACCCTCAAAAATCATGGAGTCCTTGATATGCGATGGTACAAATGACTATTTACTGTCCTTAAATTTCTTCTCACCCCAACAGCATGGTTTCAGGAAGGGTTACTCTTGTATAACCAACCTGCTGACTGCAGTGGACAGATGGACAAGCATCCTTGACCACACGGGGAAGGTTGATATCAGATGGTGGAGAAGATTTGTAGCTCAGGTGGATGATTTTGATGGAGTTTTGTTCTCTGAGCTCAGAGAACAAAACTCCATCAAAAGGTTGATATCATTTACCTTGATTTCTTAAAAGCTTTTGATTAGGTTTACCATACATGTCTTATCAATAAGCTCAAACGATTGGGTATCAGACCACCTCTAATCGATTGGCTCACTTCATATCTGAAAAATCGACATTTTAAGGTTAGGGTTAATTTCACTTTATCTCAGGCTATGGAATGTCCTAGTGGGTTCCCCCAGGGCTCAGTACTAGGGCCTCTTCTCTTCTTGATCTACATAAACGATCTTCCTCAACAGGTAACGTCAGACGTATTACTTTTTGCCGACGACGTGAAACTTTGGAGAGAGATACGCAACCAAGACGATACACAGGCACTTCAAGAGGATCTGACTCGACTTCAAAGTTGGGCAGACGATAACGGACTTACCTTTAACACTTCTAAGTGTAAAGTAGTCCATCTGCGACATGTCGCAAACTACAGTTACAACTTAGGAAACTCCTCTCTAGTAGTATCCCAAGTCGAAAAAGATTTAGGAGTCCTGGTGCCCCATGACTTAAAGTCTTACGCTAATTGTGACAAAAATGCCTTCCGAGCAAACCTTGCACTGGTAACGTTGAGGCGCATTTTTGGCCAGTTTGACGGAAGAACTTTCCATATAATCTTCAATAGTTTCATCCGTCCCCATTTAGAGTACGGAAACATAGTACTCCCCCCTCACTCCAAAAGGACAAGGTCACTTTGGAGCGTATCCAACGGCGAGCCACGAAATCAGTTCGAGGACTCAAATCTAAGCCTTACGAAGAACGCCTCCGTTCACTAGACCTTTACCCATTAGAATATAGGCATCTTAGAGGTGATTTATTAATGGCTTATAGTATTCTTAACACTTCTGGACATCCTCTTAAACACCTACTTAAGCTTAGTTCGAATAATAACCTAAGGGGTAACACCCAGAAACTGGAAACACAACATAGCAAGACGGAATGCAGACACAACTTCTACTCCTTAAGAGTTGTCAAAAGCCGGAATTCGCTGCCGGCCGAGCTAGTCCAAGCGACTTTTCAGGAGTCCTTCAAGAGGCAACTTGACCTATTCTTAAGGACCAAGGACAGCATCACACTATGATTTACCAATTTCTTTTCCTCTTTTATTGTTAACATACCTAGGTTCCTGCCTGGAGGATTTGGTGATCCCCTGCTGCTAGACACGGAAGCCTGTTAAGCGAAAGCTTCTTCTATTTCGTCCACAAACATTTGAACCATTTGAACCATTTGAACCGTTTGAATATTGCTTCAGGGTCACGGTGCAGATATCAAAGTCTAGGGCATTATCGATGTGACGTGTCGTCTCAAGTATTTTGTTTTCTGGGAAAAGCCACTTATTAATATTTGCTATTCTGTGGTCTATTATGAACATTATTTAATAGCCCCATCTTCAGGTACTCTCTCTTGTAATGTTTGACGACTTTCCTATATGGCTACATATAGAACTCTAGGGGTCTTAGTCCCCTAAAACGAATGAACATTTCGTAAACACGTGGGTAAAATTTGAGGAAAAAAACCCTACTAGCTCAAATCCTGGGGTTTTGTTGCATTTTCACAAAATTTCTGACTTCCGAAGAAGCAAATCCGCAAATTAGTCAAGTATTTCTCAAATCCCACAACCTTAATGTGCATGGGTAGTTGTATGTTGTCCGATCGACGGTGTAGACTGCTCCTCAGCTGTACATATTTTTGAACGATCGGCAGAAGTGTCTGAGCTGTTGCACGTAGTATAATATACCGTAGTTACCATTACTAGATGTCAGTAACTACTTGTCCCAATTTTTGTCACTTCATTTTCCCCCTGGCATTCTTTCAGGTACGCCTTTTTAAAACTGTCTGGGTTACCGATTAATTAACACGTTCCCGAGACAACCGTCATTTTTAGTACTCGTATCATCACATTATTTTTCACATTGCAACCAACCAACTTCCTGCATGGTTATGTGATAGTTGCTGGTATCCATAAACTCTACTGCCCTCAGACAAACGTACTCAGCCAAACTACATAATATACAAACCAACAAGTAACTACCAAACTGACTAGAATTAGCGCAGTCGAGTGGCTAGACTACCACCCATTGGATATTAGCAATACGTGGAGCCTTACCGAAACAAAAAGAAGCGGGTACAAAGAAATCAATCAGTTTACACAAGGCCGTAACGAAGCTACTGGATAAGTTGGAACTGGCGAATGTTCTGACACAAAAAGTCGCTACAGTGAGATATAACCTCAATTCGAGTTCTACCGTGTTCATACAGGGTCTTTCCATCACTACAATCACGGACAAATATATTGTTAATGGCTTTCTGCTTTCTAAGTAGCTTGTGGTGTTTTTTACTTGTGAGGTTTCTCATGTTGGTCACGTCATTTCGGCTTGTTTGTTTTCTCTGTGTTGGCATGAGGTATGCCGCGGTACAGATTCGTGTCAACTCATACGTCGTTTATGATCGACTAATTTGATACTTGATCCCATCATCCTAGTATTGCTTTTTCGCGTACTGCGTGGCAAAGCAACATGTGTTTATGTGCTGCATTTCATCCTTCTTTACGTGGTGTCTTATGCGAACTAGTGTTGAAAACACTGCTTTTTATGTATACTGTCTCAATTCCCACAATTATCAAGCCTTTGTCTTTGTTATTATCATTTGAGTGAATTGAATCATCATAATTTTATAACAGCTAACACTATCTTGTGTAATTTTTTTTAACGTTCACTATAAAAAGGCTGAAAACGATAGCACTTTACGTATTTTTCAATTCACCTTTTATTGTTCTAGACCGATTGAGTTTAGGATCATTAATTTTGTCTGTCTTTGATCATTATTTATCAATCCAAACAGTTAATCCGACTTATAGCGTCCAAACATACGGTTAGACCTTAAATGTAGTTGTTCTTCAGCAAATAGTCGATAAATGCTCGTGTTTTTAATTGGTTGTATTTCTTTAAGAAACTGCGGAATTTGAGTATTATTTCTAAAGGTTTACTGTCAGCGTGGGTGTAAAGTTTACCTTGAACTAATACTCTTATTTTGAATGACTTTATTAAATTATTCTTTATAATTAGGTCTTAGAAAATAAGTGAAACTTTGGAATTTTCTGCAGTAAATATTAATGCACATACAAAATTTTTCTTATTATAGTTGAAATATGGTTGGAACACTGTTCAGTGCTTTCAGCATATTGTGGCATTCTGTGTCATTCATCAGCTTACAGACTTTAGGAATCTTACTATTTGGAATTTATTTTTATCGTTTAATTAAAATATGTTACAACTACTCGATTGGAAGAATACTGTTTTCAAAACGAAAGAACTTAAAACAATCAGGTGAATGGGCAATTGTGACTGGTGCCACTGATGGAATAGGCAAAGCATACGCGGAGGAATTAGCTAAAGATGGTTTAAATATTATGTTAATAAGCAGAAATTTGGAAAAATTAAAAAGTGTCGCCAACGAAATTGAATCGTCTTATCATGTGAAAACGCGTATTGTTGTTGCGGATTTCACACAAGTAAGTTGTTGTGGTGAAATGTTTAGATAGTTATGTTATTCATTGATGATATAATTAATCAAATATTATTTATCAATATGAGGGATTTATGTATATCGTATAAATTGTTCATTTAAATCATGATCTTAGACGACTAGTGGAAACCTTATCGGGCGTGAGTCAGTTGTTGGCCGTTAAAAGATCGTTCTACAGTATCATTAATTGGTTGAAGGTAGACAACAATAATGTACTAATGACCAATTAAAATGTCCGGACTGTATTAACGCATTTTTTTGGAATGTACATATAGGTAATGAACCAAATTGAATCACTCTTGGTAGCAGTAACCGCTATGAAACAGTTACTTAGTGGACAAATGTTATGAATTCGGAAAAGTTTTACCGTAAGAAACACTTTCATCTGTAAGGCTACACCTCACGGATATCTAGAAATAATGTTACATTGTTTTCTGCCTATGTATTTGTTTTTAATTTTAAGGCCTGGTTCAGTTTATGTGGTTAATCCTATGTTTAATCAAATATGGCTGACATGGTGACTTGTTCTGTCCGTTTGTATTACCGTACAGCAGCTGGCTCATGGTGGAAACTATTTTATGGCCCCCAAATGCCCTGGTACGGCCGAGAGTAGGGAGAGTCCACTTTCCCTCTTGAAATGCTCCCGCATGGCCACGCGTATATAGCCTGTGCCAGGGAAGTCGTAGTCACTGCCTTCTCGTGGCGGGGGTATTGTCTACGAAATTGAGAAGACGAAAAGCGAATGTCCAGCGCTTTAACCGGGTTGGTGGACATGGAGAGTCCACCTAGGGGAGTTGGAAACCCTGATTCCAAAACCAATGGTGCACATGCGTTCCAGAATCCTGAGGGAACAAATGGCGTATGAACCAATCGTTGGTCACCGGCTACCATGGGAGTACACCTCCTGATGTTGCTCCATTGCTCTGTGGATTAGATCTTTTGGTCAAAAGTCTCGGCTGTGGCCCCTTAATAAAATTGCCTGTTCCGGTTTGGGCACCCGGACAGTATCACATCCCTCACACAGATTTTATGAGATGAAAAATATTTCACAAGACATTCCACCTTCACTTGACATCTTTATTATTATGATTCTTACTATTCTTCCTTATATACTACATCATATCACTTTGTATTCTCTGGTTGAAATCATGAGTCAACTGAAGCTAGACCACCATGGAAAACCTGGAAGCACTGGACGGCCGTTTCGCCCTAGTATGGGGGACTCCTCAGCAGTGCGCATCCACGATCCCCCTCCTCCCGTGAGATTTTTTAATTCTCATTTCATATATCCCCATTTTTCAACTTATACGGTAGCTCGCCCATGATGAAAAACTCTATTCTATCTTGATTATCATTGATATTTGGCTAGAATTTATTTATTCGATCATAGGTGTCTTCGAAACATTGCTCGTATATCCTGGGACCATCGAGTAAGTAATGCAGTTGTTAGGAAACGGATACTAGGTAAGGATGGCAAGTCGATTGATGAAGTGGTGAAACTTCATCAGTTGAGATGGCTGGGACACGTGTTGTGTACGCCCAACGACCGACTGCCTCGACGTGCGATGTTCAGTGGTATAGGAGTAGGTTGGAAGAAAGCTAGGAGCGGCCAGACCAAAACACGACACAAGTCCATGAAGTCACTGACAAGTGGACTGAGCCATGTTGGTAGGTGTAGACTACCTGGTTGGGGACCGTGAGATGATAGCAGTCGATGGTTAGAGACCTTGAATGACATGGCTCAAAATCATTTGCAATGGCGCGGGTGCATCCACTCTCTGTGTTCTCTCAAATTCTAATCTTCTGAATTCTTCATGTCTACTTTTTTCTCTTTCCAAATTTATTTCACTGGATTATACTCTATAAAGAACATCTCCAAACCCTAATCTTCCCGATTACTGCTTATACTCTTACTACCTGTACCACTATAGGATTTGAATCGACAATTGCATCTCTGTGTTAATGTGGTATGGCAACTCGAACTGATGTACGTACGTACAAAGTTCTACGTTGTTACTGACTGACTGACTGAGAATTTGTTTCATCTTCATATCAGTATTCAAACAATGTCTTGTTTCTCTTTTTTCTTCTTTTTAGAATAATATTTATGAATCAATTGAAAAAGAAATATCTCAATTATCATCTATTGCTTGTCTTGTTAATAATGTTGGCATGAGTTATCCATATTTTGATTATTATACAAATGATAAATTTATGAATATACATTTTATACAAAATTTAATTGCTTGTAATACACAATCCATAGCAATTATGACTTATATTGTTTTACCAATCTTATTAAAACAACAAATGAATAATTCAGCTATCATAAATATTGGTTCAATGTTAGGTTATTTACCATCACCATTTAATTCATTATATGGTTCCACCAAATCATTTATACATCATTTTTCTAAATCTATTCAAGCTGAATTGAATCTATCTAATAATAATAATAATAATAAGATAATGATTCAAACTGTTTATCCATTATTTGTTGCCACATCTATGTCACGTACAAGTAGAACATCATTGTTTATACCATCCCCGAAAGATTATGTGAATAGTGCATTGAATATGTTAGGTGTAGAAGAATTTACAACTGGTTATTTTCCACATGCATTACAATGTTATGTATTAACTTCAATACCTATATCATGGGTTTATAATAAATATAAACAAATTGCTGATAAAGCACGTAGAAAATATCAATAAGCATTATAATCTTTATTTGACCTGCTTCGATTTGGGCACCCAGACAGTATCACAGCCCTCACACACATATCGAATGAGATTTGTGTGGCGTATATGTATTTGGTGCCTCCTTGTACCAATATCTATGTGTTAAAATAAATCATCTCTATTGTTGTTTCAACTATCTTTTTATTTATATATATATGTATTTTTCTAATATTAAATTCTTAAATATTATTATGGATAGATTAGTTTCTTAATAGGATGTCAATAATATGAAACTAATAACTTTATATAAAAGTTTCTACAAGTTGTACATCATGGCGATTTTCACCTCATTATATGATTGTCATTATCATTAAATTAGATATATAGCAAATTGGTCTTCTTATTGTTCAGTTTGGGTGATCTGTAACATATATTTTGATTAATTTGTTCATATATATATATGTTTGTTTGACCACAGACGCCTTAGAAATATTGCTGGCGTCTGCTGGAATCACTGGGTAAGTAATAGTGAGGTTAGACTCAGGGAATGTTGGTTAATCAGTTGATGAGGTTCTGAATCTTCATCAAATCAGATGGTTGGATTACGTGTTACTTATGCCTGAACACCGGTTAACACGACGCCCAATGCTGACTAGTGATGGCGGTGGTTGGAAGAAAGTTAGGGGCGGCCAAACCAAAACGTGGCATCAGTGTCTGAAGACACTAACTTCTAGTCTGAGCCATGTTGGAAAATGCAGACTACTTGGTTGGGGTCCGTGTGACTATCGTAACTACTGGTTGGAGACTCTTGGTGACATGGCTCAGAATCGCTTCATATCTTTCTTTCTACGAACTAATTCTTTCTTCCTGTACTATGCCCTTATATGCAATCTTCCTTTTATATATTACCACCTCTGAATTAACTACTTTTATGAATCCGGTGTCCATCTTGCTGTGTTAATGAGGTATGGCAACTTGGACTGATGCATATACGTGCCTGGTCCTACGTTGAAGCTGACTGACTGATTTCAAGATATTATCATTATTATTATTATTATTATTGTTATGTTAGTGTGTGTATTTCATCAAACATTGATTCAGTATTGAACCTCTGCAAATGATTACAGAGAGATGTATCACTGTAACCATTATATATGAAATTTAAATCATTCTAACGTTTCGTCCAACAAACTTGTCCGAACTTCTTCAGGGTAGCAATCAAAATTATCAAAGAAATATTTAATGTTTAACAATTAAATGGAATATTTATTATGCGTATTCAACATATTTAGATGATGATTGTAGTAAGGAGGATAATATGAGTTAAATAAATGACTGAATTGTGTGTTTGTGTGAGAGAGTAAGATTGAGTTATTAAGAGTTGATATTAGGTGTTAGATTTGTTTCTATATGAAGGAATAAATAAAAATAAATATGCAGGTTGGAGGTTGAAATAGTTTCTGAATCGTCGATGTGTATGTAAAATGAGAATCATCAACTACATAATTGTAATGCTACAATACCCCAGATTGTCCCTAAATGCCCTGGTATGGCTGAGAGTTGGGGGAGTCAACTCTTCTCGAAATACTCTCACATAGCCACGTGCATATAACCACCGGCTACCATGGGACTGCATATCCTCACGATGCTCCACTGTCTTGTGGGTTAGACCTTTAGGTCAAAGGCTCGTTGTGTGGCCCCCTAAGAAAACCACCTACTTCGGTCTGGGCACCCGGGCAGTATCACAACCCACACACATACAAATATGGTGTGGCGCATATATATTTGGTGCCCTCTTGTACCAATATTTATGTGTTGAAATAAATAAATAAAAATAAATAGCCTCATGTCGTATAAAGGTAGCTTACGGTTTTGCCAGGCAAGGATATCATCAATCGATGAAAATAATTTTGAATCTCAAATTCGTAAGTAATCACACTGTTCAGCTCCCAAAGAGAGAAACTAGGGCGTAGTTATAACCGTACGTTGAAGAATGAAATAAAACGTTTAAATAAAAGACCACACAATTGACTATGTACACTCAAACTACTTTTTAATAGTTAGTAGTACAAAATATGGAAGCCAGTAGAACAAATATGCGTTTCATAAATCACAAATGTTTACGATTTTTTGAAATTCAAACGATCGAAATCGTTAACTTATAACTTATCTTGGTTAACAAATGATTTTAGTATCTACATATATTTAAGCATTTAGAAACTCTAACTGAAAATATGTCTACTCTTATATGAGTCTTATGGAAAACAAATAAGAACAGTTATCGAACGTATTTTACGGAGATCGTTTCATTGGGTGTGGATCAGAGGTTCCATCCACACTGTCTGTAGTCTCTGAGATATATGTTTAACGGATGATTGCTTCTACTTGACTGACTGGTCAGGAGAAGTCCAAATGACTTGTTCAGACATAATAAATTCGTTTACATTGGAGATAGGTTAAAATACAATATGACAGGATAACATACTCAGTAGATATGATCAACACTTCATATCTGTTATAATTCTGCATTCTGTTAACAATGATATGTGACTAAACGACTGATTGATCACTTGGTACTCATGAACAAGAATTATTTGCAGTAATAAAAGAGGTGATGATACTTCGGAAATCTTGTTCATTACCATCCAACTGAGGTAGATACATGTCTCTATCCGACACGGATTAGGGCCACTGGTCACGGTTTCTCATTAGAACTCCGAGAAATGTGTCACGAAGCTAGTCAGTAGTGAGTACATGGCAATTATCAGTATAGGGTTGTGGAGATGATTAAGTTTTTGATTGAGATTTATTTTAACACATAGATATTGGTACAAGGAGGCACCAAATAGATATGCGCCATATAAATCATTCTATTTATGTGAAGGCTGCTATAATGTCCACACACTCAAACAGAAACATGTGGTTTTTTTAGAGAGCTACACCCAGAGCCTTCGACCTATAAGACTGATCCACAAAACAGTGGAATAACGTTAGGCGATACAATCCCATGGTAGTCGTTAGCTAACAATAGGTTCATACACCATTTTTTTCCTTAGGATTCTGGAGTTCATGTGTACCATTGTTTTGGAATCAGGGTTTTCCAACTCCTCTACGTGAATTCTCCGTGTCTACCAACCCGGTTAAAGTGCTTTACATTTGCTTTTTGTCCTCTCAATTTCGTAAATCGCGAGAAAGCATTGAATAGGACTTCCCAGAAAGTGTATACACATGATCATGTTAAGGCATTTTAAGACAGGGAGAGAGCTGACTCTCATCACTCTCGACCATACCAGTGAATTTGGTAGCAATAAATCGCTTAAGAAATACAATTACCAAATAAAAACAAACTAAACTTCTATTATTGAAATCTATTTATTTCAGAAATTCTTTTATTGTTCTCTATTATAAAGATAATAACATAGGAATTCACTTCAATTCATTTAACTTCATTCATTCAATAGATTATGTTATATAGAAAAGAATACCATGCTCAATTGTTATTCAATAGTCAATATATGAAATTCATTTCATTGTTAGTTGATCATCTTATTCTAATTATAACAACTTAGAAGATTTTGGGATTAGTTTAAGTGTTGAAAATAGAATGTTTTTAGAAGAAAACAATATGATAGTGTTATATCCCGTTAAGTATAATGAATGGTAACTTTTGGTTGCCCATTTATGGACCGGTACTATGTGTATATTTTGTATTGTATAATTGTTATGTAACTAAATTGTTCATATTCATGTCGCTCTTATTATAAGCTTTAATTGGACCCATGAACCATTACTATACGATTTACCATTCTTGAGTTATGACCTATTTATCAACTACTATCTCCCTGATTCACAGCGACGTTTGACTAAATCTTGTACAAATGTTGTTTCATATTTTATTGGTACGTTGTGGTCTACTTGGTTGGTATATAAACAGAGTATGTTTGAAATATATGATTCATATCGCAGAGGCTCGTAGTGGTGTTCTGGACTTAACTGGCTGGGCTGGGTGGAAAGCAGGACCAATGAGAGCTCTAGGCTGTTCGCACTTACTTTACGCGTCCTTGATCCGGTCGATAATTCACTGCTCTCTAATCGGCGGTCACAAGTCAAAACAATTGGCGACGGGGTATAAAAAAATTACGATCCAAAGTCAGCCTGTAATTGAACGAAATTCATTCTAATTATTTCGAGTGATCAGTATCCAGATTTCTCATCAGTGTCCTTGAACGACATTGATCATTATTCATACAGTAATTTTCATTACCAGTGCTGATTGAAAAAAAAAATCTCCCTTGCGATCAATTACAGCTGCTATTTGAGCGATAGTTGAAGTTCTTAGTCTAATTACGCACGCAGCTGCTGAATCACTTATGCTTTAGAGATACGACGAAAGTGGATGGATTAATTTCTCAATTGCACACTGAGCTAGAGAATGATTGCAACCTCCATGGATCCTCGATAAGCCATACTTCGAACGAAACAGCAGTCCTTCAAGATCCTCCCAGTGGTCCAGTACTCTCCATTTCAGAAACATGCTCGGTAATTGATTCAAACTCCATTATCTTCGAAACAGCATATGCAAACATTGACGTATCCAGCTTACAAAAAGATGGTTAAGGATGCATAGATTAAAATTATGTCCAGATAATAATGTATTTTCTTCTTCTCTCTTTATTTACCACATCACTAATCTGTATTTAAATATGTTCGCTAATAAGTCTTATCTATAACTTAAAAACTTTGTCCAATATTGATTAAAACTGATGATCGTAGTCAGCACAAATCAATATCTGAGGATCAATGCACATTTCAACAGAAAAGTTAAGTATCAGATTACACCTCAATGATTTATATAATTAAGCACTCCTGTAACGAGATATCTAGAATAGCCTAAAGAAAAGCTATTCCCTATCCCATTGAAAGTGTGGTATGTTGGGATCTATTTATAGATTAGTACGATACATCTATTTTGTATTGTATAATTATTAAGTAACTAAACTACTCGTATTCGTGTTCCACTCATTATAAGCTTTATTTTGACTTATAAACTATTATTATACGATCTACCATTCTTGAGTTACGCCTGGTCTTTCAATTACAATCTCTCACATTCACAGGCACATTTGACTAAATCTTGTACAAATGTTGTTTCCTATTTTATGGTATGATATAGTCTGTTTGGTTGCTATATAAATACAATATGTTTGAAATATACGATTTAAACCGTGGAGTCTGAGATTTGTGTTCTGGACTGTAACATGTAGGGCTAGACGGTAATCAAGACCGTCATTGATCCGATCGATAATTCACTGCTCCCTAATTGACGATATTGTTAAATTATACATGAATAGATCACATAGGTCACAAGTTATAACCGACGTTTTACGT